AGTGGCAGCGGCGGCCCTGGCGGAGCGCGGGTCCCGGGGGGCGGCGGCAGCGGCGGCGGCGGCAGCACCGGGGCTCCATCTCCCCGCGCGCTGAGCTCCCGATCCGCTCCAGAAAGCGCCTTCTCGGAGCGGCGGTGCCGATGTGGCAATCCCGGCAGGGAGGAGGCTCGACTCGGCTCCGGCGGCAGCCGCGTCCGGCCCCGCTGCGGGGCTCGGCAGCGGCGCCGCGGCCCCGCCTCCCGCCCCGCCCCGGGAGCGCCGCGCCGGGCGGGTGTGCCCTGCGGAGCCCCGCCGAGCCCGCACTGCCGAGCCCGTGGTGCGGGGACGGCTTGTCTCGCTCTGCCCCGCGGTCCTCAGCAGCCTGCATTCCCGGCAGAGCCGTAATCCGCACTGTTTGGAGGGGCCGTGCTGAAAAGCGGGTTATTTTCTGTCAGAGGAGCGCTTAGTTCGAGCATTACTGACGACACTGTTACTCTTGCGCTCCATTGCCGCATCGGCGACTCTCCCTCCCTTACGTGAAGGCTTTGTATCGCAAACACGCGGGCTTTCCCCTCTCCACGAGCGAGATGAGCCTCTCCCAGCCAGCAGCCGGCCTTTGAGCTGAGGGGCGACAGCCGCGACCCTTGGGCTCCGTGGCATCTCCTCGTCAGGTCGGCTTGGCTCTGCTTGGCTCATACGATTGAAGGCTCAGGCACACCTTGGGATAGTTTGAACTTGAATATTGAGCCACTGCTAGAACATTGAGCCTGAATACTCAGCGAGGGCTCCATTTAGAGGGGTGTTTTCTCGAGAGCCTCGCAGAAGCTCGACAACTTCGTAGGTCGCTGTTGCTCTGGCGTTACTAATGACAGGAGCCATAGGGTGCCGAAAGGGATTCGTTTTCTTTACAACTCTTAAACATACAGTGTGCTCCAGTGGAGTTATATTTCTCTGCTGGGAAATTCAGAGGGGTATATAAAACGAGAATGTGTGGGAGTTGTAAAGGGTGATTGGAAAAAAAAAAAAAAACAAAAAAACTAACCAAATCTCAAAATGAAGAACATATTTTGAAGGAAGTACTGCAAATACAGACTTGCAAAATACACTGTTCGAAACAATAAAATCTGGGCAATCCAACAAATCAACCTAAGAAAATGGCAGATGTCTTTGAGAATCAGCAGCAGAATAAAATGATCCTGGGGACTCTGTACAGCAGGCAAGTTGCAGATAAATACTTCCAGCATAATTTGCTTTCATGCTGTTACCTGTATCTGAATGTGAGCATTAGATTTTGTGTGTGCTCTTTGCTTACAGTGCAAACACGGGCAGGGTATAAATCCAGAATGATAATAATAATGGAAAGAAAGCCCTGCATTACAGCTTGTAAAGGATGATGGGCATACTTGTACATTCAGTAAAGCATTTCAGCAAATCAGGATGGGCTGGAAGTTCAACAGAAAAATAAGAAGACAAAATATTAATTTTGGGTTTTATACTAAGAGCACATATGCCTTTGTTGTGGATTTAGTTTCTGTATATTTTTGTTCAGTGCAGTTGCTTACATACAATAGGAAAAAACCTGAGCAGAAATGTCTACCAGAGTTGCACGCTTTATGCTGCCCCTATATTTCTACATTTAAAGTGCAGAACCTTTTACTCAGAGCCAAAATGAATCTCCAGCTGCCATTCTAAAAGCTACAGGGTTCTGTATTTATAATCACAGAAACTGTAATTGAAAAGGGACCTCAAAATGGTATGAGGGAAATAATGGTCTATCTAAGTGACAGGTCTGACATTACGCTCTAATCTATAAAAAATATTGAAACTAGTTAGTGGAGATGCTTCTCTAGTCCCTAGGAATATATAGGCTGAAACTCCTTGACTTTATCCATCACCTTGCTCCCTAAAATAGCTAATCCTGGCATTCTACTGTCCCTTGGTGCAACGGCTCAGGAAGGAAAGACAACAAACAATCAGATTTTGAGTGACACAGGGTATGGTCATGGAGCCTCTTTGGAAAAATATCCCAGCAAGGCCACAGGAATTCAGCAGGACTTGGGTGGAGCTGGGAGCCTCTCCTGCACACACAGCAGACACAGCTATGGAGCTGAGAGGCAGCGTCAGCTGGCTCCTGCAAGCCTTCCCAGCACACTCTTACCATCTGAAGGGAAAAAACCCCAACCTCACACACCCTTGAAAGTGTGCCAAATTAGCACATTGCTGGACAAAATGCCAGACAAAATGGTCCACCTTTCAGACTTACTAGTCAGTGAATCATAAGATATTCCTGTACCATGGATGATGCAGTTGCAATGGTCTGATGATATAAGCAAAGCAAGATCTGTAAGGAAAAGCAGTTACCTTCCCATAGACCAATCATTACACTTAAAAAAACAAATGACCTCTTGAACACACAGCTTCTGGGCAAACACTTTGTGCTCCAAAAAAGATAGTGCGCTTTTTTTTTTTCCCCACACAGATTAGTTGATTTAGTGAATAATTTCCAACAAATGTTGTCTAACCTGTTCTTTGGAAAAGCCCAGCTGGCCTGGTTAACTTCAGAAATTATTTGAGTTAATAGGAATAAAAAATATAGGTTTAGTACATATAGGTTTAAAATATTGCATTACATCAAATAAAACTGCTCCTATACTTCCTTAGGTTGAGTTACTCAGTTTCTCACTAAACTCATCTATCATTTCAACTCATTTCTTACCTTTCTTTTTATTTATGTTTGGCTTTTTCTGAGAATCAGCATAAAACCTGAGTGCCACAGAATAACAGCTGGAGGACTGTTCTGCTTCAAGGAAGAAAATCTTTCTATAGAAAGACGCTTTCACAGTGATGTAGACTGTAGTGAATATTGAAGAATTTTTGCCATACAGGTGTTTTTTCCAGGCCCATGATGTAGGTCCAGGCTATTTCTTTGATCTGGCAGGAGCAACTGAGAAATGCTCATTTATGTTTTGAAACTCTGCTTCTCCCGTCTCATCTTTTACTTCAAGGAATATTATTATGCAAACACACCCAACTGAGCATGTGAGTCATCATATTCAAACGAAACACATGACTCATTTAGACCCATGTAACTGGTCCACACTGAAGAGAGGCCCTGAAGATGGAGAGTAGGATACATTAAGCCACGAATCAGGAGCTAAAATTATTCTGAGTTATGAGCTCCTGAAAACTTGCCATAGTTATTTCTGAATTGCTCTTTAGGAAGGAGAGGCAGGACTTTTTTCAGATGATATTAAGGGCCATAAAACCAGTATACTTCTAAATGCCTGTTAATTCTGTCAGCATTACTGTGAAGGTCCTTTGGTGGGAACTGCAACATTGACTAATTTATGTCAGGAGCAACCATTCTTAGGCCACAGCAGGCTCTCACTGGAACTGCCTCCGTCTGGTCTGCAGTCTTCCTTGTACATTCCTTTACATTCACATGAAGGAAGGTGAGTGTAAACCTTGCTCATGCAGGGAATACACTTTTTGCTGTTTAACAGAGTGTTAGCTGCAAGGATTTAGGGAAAGGTATTAGTGAGGAGCAAGCCATGACCAGAGAGATTATTCTGGTAGACCAAGTCTGCAAGCCATTGCTGGTCCCCACTGATTTGGATCATTCTATTTTAAATTCATGTGCATTCACAGTTTTGTCAAAGTGAATGAGAAGTGTGCTGAAGGAAAACAAGCTATCATGAAGCTTTATAGGACATTGCTTAAATTCCCAGTGAAAGGTGATAGTTCTGGAGTTACTGCATCGGGAACAGGAGGTGTAAGAGGAGAAACAGCACTATTAGTAACCTAGGATCATTTAGTGTTTTAATTTTTTTTGACAAATATCTATCAAGATGTAACAAATTTTGTGTTGCTTTAACCAGGAGCTACCTAGTTCAGATAAGATCTTTAGTTAAAAGATACAAACATAAAAAATGAAGTACCCATAGACCTCATTAAGTGTATACCTTGAAGAGTTTTTAGATATTGAGGTGAGAATCCAAACTGTGTTATTTTGAAGCTTGATTTATTAGGTGTCTACAGAAACTTTATGACTTGATATATAGTCCCAGCCTCCCAGATAAGTCCAGATACAATCATGTTAAATCAATCATGTTTTATATACTACCATAAACTCATATAATTCAGAAAATGAATGTGTTTATTTTCATACATTTCTACATAAGAAATATGGTTTATACAATACTTTTACAAGAAAGATTTCAAGTCAATTTGATTACAGCTCCATGTAAGGCATGAAGAAAAATTAAATACAATGAGCAATGTGTTCAAATATTTAAATTGAAGATTCTGAGACATCATTGTGATACTAGTTATTATATAAATAATGGCATACCTAAAGCAAGTCCAATACAGTAGAACTGAAGATTTACAATGACTTGTATAATATTCCTTAGAGTGTCTTGGCCCAGAAAGAAAAAATGAGAAACCTTGAACATCCTTATACATAAGGCAAAAGTACAGCTTTATATTTGGTATATCCA